TAGTTTGAAGATAATGAATAAAAATGAAATTCGTGTGTTGATGAAGCATTTCTTTTTGTTAAAAAAAACTGTCCAAGTCAAGGCTTGGCTTGATAAACAGCATTTGGACTCTGCATCGATGCCGTTGAGAAGGGGTTTGCTAAGCTAAAACGAGGTGAATTGAGCACCAAGGACGATGCACGCAATGGACGCTCCAAAGAGGTTGTTGCCGATTAGAGCATCAAAGTTCACGAAATGATTTTAGATGTTTTCAAAGTGGAGTTGGTCGAGATAGCTGACGTATCGTAGGGTAGGGTGGTCGACAGTGGATCACCAATTTTCTATACCCATATATCTCGGAAAATAATACATAAAGTTTATTGAAAATTTGGATGGAGTTTCATGGACTATAATCTTATTAAAATATTATAATTCATAGTCGGTCGTATTACAAGTAGAATATAAAAAAAATATTCAATTTTTAGTATACAATGATTCAGTGTTGACCAGGGGTGGTTTTCAGTGGATCGCCCTACAGTTAACAGTAGATCAGTCACCAAAATTATTGCGCCTACTTCGAAATGGAAAAACTAACTCATTTTAAAAATGAAAATATAGATGAACCATATGTTTTCGAAAGGAATATATTATGGAAAAACAGAAAAAAAACATTTTCGAAATAAATTATAAGAAAATAAAAAAATTAACGCATTGCAAGATCAACTGATAATTTATAATAAGACTGTTGCCTAGGTGTGCAACTAATTGTTGGATTCAGAAAGATGAATCCTACATGCTGTTCTTTGACAAACGCCTGGTCAGGCACATCTGGAATATAGAATTGTTGCTGCGATTTACATCTGAGAAAGCTGACATAATATTCCATATTATGATTCGAAGTATCCAAAACCTTTGCAATGTAGAAAACCTTTTGCTTTTTCGTATGAAATAGAACAAGCACAGATTCATCTTGTTCTGCTTGACGAGCTAAGGGTTGTTCTGAACGCTTTTCAGCCAACATGTTTTCTTCGACCTCTGTTTCGACTTCTTCGAATTAATTATTTTCATTGCCAGAACCTTGACATAATACTCTTTTGTCATAGTTTCCTTCATAATCACTTTGCAAAATTTGGCGCTTCACCTTTTTTTTGTCTTCTTTTCTACTTTTAGTTGCTTCTCTGGCAGTTGCTATCTCATTTTTTTCTGGAGTGTCGGTGGCTATGATGCTTTTTCCCATCTTTCTAGATTGTTTTTGTTGGTTCTAGGATTGGCTCTTAATGGTGCCGTGAATTGTTCTAGTGATACAAAATTAATGTTGCAATTGGATGGTCCAGCAACATCATCATCGTGTGATACCGTATTACCTGCGCCAATATTAGACTGGGCTGAAATCAGGCTGGCTGGGAACGGTCGATCTGTCACTGTGCTGGGCAATAAATCATCACTGGAGAATATATCCCTGTCGAAAGGGCATATTCCAGTTTTCTGAAAGGCTTTCGTTATGTTGGAAAATGTAATTGATTTTGTAAAAGCTATTTCAATAAATTCTTCAACATCGTATATGGTAACTGGGAAACCTGGATGACGCATCAACCAAGAGTCCACAGCATTGTGGTAATAACTGTTGATCGGACCAAAAACACTCACATCCAAGGGCTGCATTCTTGCTAATGTATGAGAATGAAGTGTAAGGACAGTAACCCCGGATTTTTTTGCTAAGTCAAGCCCCTCTATACTTAAGTGGGATTCGTGGTTGTCCATCAGAATACTGGGATTATCCGGCGTGCTGTGGCTGTGCTTGATGAAATGCCCCATTACTACAACGAACAGCTCACTGGTCATCCAATCCGAAGATGTTGCCAGGATTAGAGTTCCCGGTGTTATTGACTTTTTTTTGGGGGAAAATGATGGCAGGTGGCAATGCTTGACCACCAGCACTAATAATGCAGCAAGTTGTGCATAATATTCCCTTTTCAGCGCTGGTGACTTTGTGGCCTTTCGGCCTAATGACTCTCTGGGGTTTCTGTACCGTGGTCGTTCCTGTTTCATCTAAGTTGTATATCCTAGTTCCATCGGCAAAAGCTGGACTACGCTGAATTACTTTTCCCAAATTTCCGTTGGCGAAAACATCGGAACCAGTCAATACCCGCCAACTTCTCCGCTTTCCAATTGGGTGGTATTTTGAGATTATTAGTCATGGCCATTTGATAGTCTAGTTGACGACAATCTTCTGATAAAAGACCGTAAAATAATAGCACACATTTCTTGTAATAGGCTTTCAATACTTCTTCATGCTGGTCGAAAAACACTTCATCTATAGCATAGTTTGGAGTTGAACGCAGCTGCACATTTGGTTCAGCAGCCCTTCGTCTAACGTTATAATGTCGTGAAAGAAACACCAATTTCTGTCGAAGCTTAGCGGATACTCGAACCACCTTCAGTCAGTTGAAACGCGGTTTCTATCTGGGCCTGGGTGTGCTTGCCAATTTTTCTCTCTTAAACATTTCCTTTGAGGCATTTTCTGTAACAAAATTAACAAAATTGGCATATAAAGTTCGAATGTAAGCCTTGTAATTGCAAGTCCATTAAACCTTCTGTGAAATGAATCGTTGTTCTTGAAAGATTTCAATTGGATGTGTTTTGAGTTAGTTTCAATTGGGAAAAACAAAGTTGTCTGAGAAGACTCTCTATAGTTTTGTCCATTTCATCGTGAATTAGATTTGCTGATGTTGGGTATACAGTGGATCATGGTCCACTAATAACCATGTGCACTGATCCGCTGTAGACCAAACCGCCATTTGATTTTTAAAATGTGGTTTTGACAAAATAAGTTGAATAACAGGTGTTATTCAACTTATTAGCAACGAATGCTAATTATTTTTAGAAGCAATGAATATATTCTGAACTCTATCTGAACTGATGAAATCACACAAAAAGTTCGACTTACCTAATAATAAGAAATGGAGGCTCCAAAACACAAATTCAACTGTTATAAATTCGATTATCAACTGGACCGCTCAGCTATGAAGTGAGTCAAAGAGGCATTACACCACGTGCATCTCGCGCAAGCGCCTATTTACAATAGATAAACCAATAACAAACTAATTTATTATGTACTACTGAACCACTGTTGAACCATCCTACCCCACATGAATATTTGCGTGTACGAAAGCTCCGTTTAAAGAGGATGCCGCGCGAGCTCACAATCGACGAAAAACAATAACGAATCGACGATTTGATGTTGTTCCGATATGAAAAACCCAAAGTCATCCGTCGATATGAGACGATGGATGAAACAGGGCTTTATCATCTCAGACCAAAATCAAAACAATCGTCATCTGAGTGGACTGCACATCATGAACTGACTCTAAAGCCTGCAAAGACGCATCAGTCAGCTAGCAAAGTTATGCTATCAGTATTTTGAGATGCGCATGGTATAATATTCATAAACTATCTTGAAACGGCGAAAATCATCAACAAGGACTACTACGTAGCGGGACGAGTGAAGGACGAAATTGCGGAAAAACAGCCCAATTTGAAAAAAAAGGAAGTGTTGTTTCATCAAGACAAAGCACCGTGTCACAAATCAATGGAAACGATGGCAAAATTGAAGGAATCTGGCTTCGAATGGCTTTGTATCCTCCAGTGCTTTTTTTCTGTTCGCAGACCTCAAGAGAATGATCTCTGAAAAGAAATTTAGCTCCGATGGATAGATAATCATAGAAACTGAGGCCTATTTTGGAGCTAAAGACAAATCGTACTATAAAAACGATATCTGAAAATTTCGTGACTGCTAATATCGTTGTATCGCCCTCAAAAGCAACTCTGTTTAATAATAAAATGCAATTTTATCAATTTTTCTTTTTTATGTAACGAAGAGTTTCGCCTAGTAATGATAACTTGATGGTGGTTGCTTTGTTGGTCCAGTGATAGAATTGGGCCGCTAAAGCGAGTCCATGTTTCAACAATTTCACCATGGAGAAAAAGTTCCAGGTTCTGTTTGATGTTTTTATATCGGGTGTAAGTGTTGGATCTTCAAGAGCTTCTCGATCATGTTTATCGGCTAGTTCGTTTCGAGTAAGCCCAGAATGTGAACTAACTCATCAATAAGTCATTGACTTGGTTGGTTTCATTATTGCCAACACATTCGACTAACTATCTCTTCATGAATTCGTCATATGATCTGCCACATGTTTGAGATTATCATTTCAATAAAATACAACTTCAAGAAAATACATGTACCTTTCATGGTGTAAGGAATACTCTCAATATCCATATAATTTCGATGTTCACATCCGCGACGTCATCTGTTCGGAAAAAATGTAATTGTTGCTGCTACGCAAGTTAGGAATTTTTACTTACTTCATATTGAATGAAAGCAAACATTTTTTCAAATCGAGACCAAACTGGGACCATTTTCGTAGAAGTGACGCCATAAATTCAGAACAGAAGTGAAAATGCAGTTGCTCCAACATTTTCATTTCATTCTTCCTTAAATCAACCAGAAATTTCTATATCGATACTCACACTTTGATGATGTGATCATTTTTTATAGTTTTCAAGTGAATAGTAGTTGTATAGTATCTATTGAACAAAAAAAAACATTCAACCCAAATCCTTTATAGTCTGGTTATATCAATTATTCTCTTTTTTTCATCAAGGCAAGCTCATTTCGATACATTAGGGAATTTTCATGTCACTAAATTATTACCCCCTTGAAGAAGGTGTTTATACGATTCAATTATTCTGGTCTTATGACGACAATATTCTTTTCAACAGGTTTAGTGTTATTGAACTGGTTTGATATCGTGCGAGGAGAAGATATTCATAATAACAATAATAATAATATTTATTCACGTAGGGAAGAAGAATACAGAACAATGTAATGAGAAGATGAAGGTGAATAAATGAGTACTCGATGAGTGTTTTTCAAACTTTTTTTTTATTTATTTATTTATTTACAGTCGCATCGACCTCTAGGGTCATCAGCGACTTGTCAATATATTACATGGAAAAAAAATTTAGAAAGTATGTAACAAATTGGTATTTCTGAGGAAAGCTGATAGATTATTAATATCACATTCATCTCCTAATATGTCCTTTATTGATGGTGGGAAGCCATAAGCTTGTCTTTCATTGTGATAAAGCACGCACTCGGTGAGAATATGTTTAACACTTTGAGGACTATCACACACTTCACATACTGGGGGATTTTCTTCAGATAGTAGGTATCCATGGGTGAGACGAGTGTGGCCTAGACGAAGACAAGATAAAATGACCTGGGCTTTTCTTTTATTGGGGTTGTTTTTCCAAGGAGATACTGACTGTTTTATCTCATGAAGTTTTGCTGACGAACTATTCCATTGTGATTGCCAACTATTGATGATCATTTGCTTGTATAGAGATTTCAGATCCGTGTGAACAGCAAGTAACACTGTATCTGTTAGCGGGTTAGTAACTGCTTCTTTCGCTAGTTTGTCAGCTCTTTCATTTCCAACTATGCCCATATGTGAAGGGACCCACATAAACCGGATGCAAATATGTTTTTGATGTAGTAGGTGGAGAGACTGTTTTATGCGAAGCAAGATGGGATGATTGGTGTATAGTTGTGTAATTGTTTCGAGAGCGTTAAGTGAATCTGTGACAATCAGAAATTTTGGGATGTTCTTTTCCTCCATGTACTTTAGTGCTCTCCAAATAGCGTATAATTCACCTGTGAGTATTGTGTTTTCTTTCGATAATTTAAATGAACAGCTGAAATCAGAGCTAGTGAAAGCTGCCCCTACTCCATCTTCCATTTTAGATGCATCAGTGTATACTGGAAAGAAGTCTTCGTATTGCTCCAGAAGATGGTTGAATGCTACATTGAACATCCTGTGATTTGTATTCTTTTTCTCAAATTGTAGCAGTCCATATTCAATGTTGGCTCGGGGGATTATCCAGGGAGGAGTATTGGGTGTATTAGGAGTTGAGAAAATGTTTGGTTGTTTTAGTTGGAGGCTAGAAAGATACTGGTTATATCTTTGGTAAAAAGGAGGGTCTGCTCTGATTTTTTTTGCAAAAATGTTTTTGAATCTCTGTGCTATTACATTGTGGTGTACCGGATTATCTGGATTGGATATGATGGATGCTGCGTAGGTGAGTGTCATAAGCTTCCTTCTGTGGCTAATGATGNTTCTGTGGTTTTATGTTTTTTGTAAGTATTAAAAGCATTTTTTGATAGTTTTATGGCAGTATGACATTCATTGTTCCACCATGGTAGTGGAAAATGTTTATTGAGGGAGTTAGTTTTTCCAACACATATCTCAGCAGCGTGGATTATCATTTGAGAAAATTTTGAGATCATGGCGTCTATATTCAGGTTCAACATTGCATTCGTGTCAATTTCTGCAGTTTCATTTTCAATAAGTGAAGTAAATCGGGTCCAGTCTGCTTTTTTAAGAGACCATTTTTGGGGGGTAGCGTAAGAGATTTTAGATTTTTCGTTAGTGATAATAATTGGGTGGTGATCACTACCGTATAACTCTGGAATTACATCCCACTCCAGTAACACAGATAAGTGTGGTTCGCAAATAGAGAGATCGATTGCTGACGATTCGCCGTTTGTAACGTTGAAACGAGTATTTCTTCCGTCATTAAGGAGATTAAGATTGAAATTATTCATGATGGATTCAATTTTGTGACCCTTTGTATTTGTTTTCTTGGAACCCCATATCTGATTGTGTGAATTGAAATCACCAATTATTAAACGTGGTGAAGGTATTTGGTTGACTAGGTTACTGAGTTCGTCTATTGGTGGATCTTGATTAGGAGGTATATAAAGATTGCAGATATGTAATTTGTCTGGTCCTTGGATAGTTACTGCAACTGCTTCCAAATTGGTAATTAGTGGAATGTTTTGTGCTTCTAAGCAGTTTTTTACATATATGGCAACTCCTCCACTAGCATGAAGTTGGTTGTCTCTGCATTTATGAAAACATGTGTAATTTGAAAGATTATGGACGGTTTGGTTTCTGAAATGGGTTTCTTGGAGACACAAAATAGATGGCGAGTATTCTGAAAGGAGCAACTTTAACATATCTAATTGGGTATAGTACCCATTAAGGTTCCATTGAAGAATCGAATTGAATTTTACTAGAGAGAGGATGAAGTTGAAAATTGCTAAAATGTTTCCTGGGATGTGTCGCTGTCTTCAATTTCACTGGCTAATTCCAAATCTAATTGTCTCTTTATCTTATTTTGAATTTTGGTACATCTGGTTTTTATTTTCCTTTCCGTCAGGAGGGGGTATATCCTATGTAATAGTTCAAGTAGTCCTTTAATGTTTGACGTATAAGTTTTTGCCACACTGAGCGGGTCGGATGATCCATACACATTTTCGAAAAAGTCTTTTGTTTCATCATATGACAAGACTAATTTTTCTGATTCGTTTTGAAATAAGGGTTTGGCTGGTCGTAACAATTCTTCTAAAGGTTGTCCACTAGTGAAAGTTTTAACTTTTTTACTTCGTTGCTCTGGCATAGGTTTGACGAATTCCTTTTCTTGTTCGGAAGAATTTAGTGGAGGTGTCGTGATTTCCGAAATACTCCGTTTCGCTGAGGAGTTAGAATTTGGATTTGCAAAAGTTGGTAGTAGTAATAAGTTTTCTTCCGTTGTTTCTAATGTGTTTTCAATATTTAGATCTGTTTGTTCAGTAATGTTTTCAATAATGGTGTCTACAGGGGCTTCATTGTTAATGTTCATGCTGGGGACGGATTCATCATTGTTCATATTTGGACAATTGACAGCTAAATGTCCGCTTTGCTTGCATTTGAAACATAGCTGATTATCTAAGGTGAGGTATATACGGTATGGAGTTTGGTCAAAGGATATAACAATAGATTGAGGTAATTTGGAGTGATCTAATGGAGAAATATATACTTGTCTTCGGAAACTTAGGACATGTTTAAAGTTTGGGTTTGATACTCCGATTCTCAGGAAGGAAATTTGAGATACTAAAGTTAGTCCCAGCCCTCGTAGTTCAGCTTCAAGGAGGCTATGTGGGATCGATGGACATACGTTGGAGATGATCAGTTTTTCGCTTGGGGTGATCAGTCTTCTCGCCGTTAAAATTTCTTGGTTGATTGCTATTTTTCCTTCGGTGTTGCTGAAGAATTCATCAACTACTTTTTCGCTCAATAGATAAATACATATTCTATTATTAGAAATTTTAGAGGAAAACAAAATATTTTGTGGAGTGACGTAGTTGCCTAAAGCTACTAAGTAGTCTTCTAGTTTGAGGTTTGCTCTTGCAAACCTGTTGATCAGTCGTGTTCTTGCTGATAAGAACCAATATGAGGCCTTGAGAATGGTAGCAGTTTGATTTTATAGATGTTCGTAGAAGAAATTATCTAATAAATTGTTAGACTTACTGGTTACAGAAAGGCGACCAAAACTATAATAACTATGAGAGAACAACAGTTGGTATTTTTTGGTTTGATTTCCACTATCAAATTACAAAAATTTCGTCGGTTGCTGATAAGTACACTTACAGGTCACTTTGTCAGGCCCGGACTCGTTTTTCAAACTTGTTTCGAGAAAATACAATGCAATAAAACTTATAAATAATAAACATACTAACTGTCAATTGCGAATATATGAAAAAATCCGATGAGTATCAAACTTTTCTAAATCTAAAAATAAATATATACAAACCATTCGCACACACACATGTACATGTGTAACTATAAATTAATACAATGTTTGATGCGTGTGAGTGGTACAGGATTGTTTGTATGATATTAAAGTGACACAAATGTTATGAGCGGTGTGTTAGAAATAATAAGAATAATAATACCAGTTTATTTCAATCATTAAGGTTGTACACAATGATACAAATGGATTTAATTTACACTATGACAAAATTATTGTGAAAGACGTCAATAGGTGCATAACATATTATATATAGCTGTATATACACAAGAAGTAATAAATAAATGATTTATAAACAGTCACACATAATGAAAAAAATGAAATCTAGTTGAGGAATTCTTCATAAGTGTAACAATATGAATTGTTTTGTCATTTTTTTGAACACATTTATGTTTTTACAATCTTTCACAGTCTCGGGTAAAATATTAAAAAATTTGCATCCATTCACTTCATAACTTTTGTGAAGGAGGGCAGTACGATGGCGTACTGGTAGTAGTAACTGTTTTCCTCTAGTGTTATAGTTATGTAAACGTTCAGCCATATTGCTAGATCTTTGTTTGAAAACGTGCACCGAGGCTTCTAGGATATAGGTCCCTGCCACTGTTAAAATGTTTAATTTTTTAAAAAAATGTCTGCACGAATTTCTAGAGTCTAGTTTTACCAGTATTCGTATGGCATACTTCTGTAGAGTGAACACTCTATTTACAGAGGAGCAATTTTCTCAGTTCAAAATGCCACATTTCAGGTGGGAGTGAAAATTATCATGATACAGGATCAGCAGCATCTCTTCACTACAATGATTTGCCATTAACCTCAAAGAGTAGCACAATTTTCTCAGTTTTGTGCATAGATTGTCAATATGTGGGGTCCAGATTAAGTTTGCGTCAAAAGTTACACCCAGTATTTCAACCGATATTGACATTTCTATTTCACTGGGGGTACCATCAAAAAGTCTGCAGTTTAGATTGTTCCCACGCCAAGTAATTAACATAGCATTAGTCTTTGATGTATTTAAATTCAGATTATTGTTTTTCGACCACTTCAGCACATGTTCCAGAGTATTTTCGGCTACAATTTTCAATGCATTCAGATCGTTCTGGGCTACAAGTACATTAGTATCATCGGCATAACACACCATATGTATTTCAACGTTGTTAGTCATGTTGAGATATTTTATGAGGTCATTTGCATAAACTACATAGAGAAAGGGTCCTAGGATCGAGCCTTGCGGAACTCCTTGAGGTATGTGTGAGGTATCTGAGTAGGACTGATTAAGTTTCACAACTTGCTTTCAATTGCTCAGAAAAGACTAGAAGGTGCAGGGGTACTCCCCTGACACCATATCTTGATTACTTAGATATCAGTAGTTTAGTATCGACGCAGTCGAAAGCGCGTGGGAAGTCTAGAAATAGGTTCATCACAAATTTGTTGTTGTCCAGATGTTTCATTACATGGCTCTGGAATTCACAGAGAGCAGATTCTGTGCTTTTCTTTTAAATGAAATCATGCTGCGATGACGAAAGCAGATTATATTTGTTGAAGAAAGTTTTTCATTTTAAGCTCAAATAGTTTTGAAATACTAGAAATGATATTGATCTATAGTTATTCAGATCACTCTGGTCTCCTTTTTTGTATATTGGACACACCCTTGTGTATTTCAGTTTTTCTGGGAAAATCCCCATTTGTGCTGATAAGTTAATTGATACTGTTAACGGTTTGCATACACTGGGACCAATTTGTTTCAGAAAAGTATTACTGAATCCAGGCGCGTATACAGCTTTCGTTTACAGGGGGGGTAATTGCGGAGAAAAAAAATTTCACCATACCACCATTTCAACAAGAAAAAAATGCATAATGGCCTTTTCACCAGCTCACCTTCCACAATGACATGAATTATTAGGAAACTATGAAATAAAAACGTCACATTTGTTAAATCTTTAATTTTAACATAAATAAAATAAGAAAGTATAAATAACTTGAAATTTCAATAAAAATAAACTTTAGATTTCAGAGAAGAACAACATTTTTTTGTCTTTGGCAAGGTGAGTAAGAATAAACAATGATATTCGTTGTAGTTATCACACTACATACAAATATAGGTATAGGTTCATTGAAAAGTACATCTCACTAATTGTACGGAAGATAATGCAACAGATAAATTAAATGATAAATTCTAGTTTTCGATTTTTCTTATTGACATATCGATCTATTACTGCATTAGCTTCTATGGGTAAGTCCCAGGCATGTACATGTAAGAGTGCTAGATCAGTTAAACGATCCTGACTCATTGTGGATCTGAGCCAAGTTTTGAGGCGCCTTAAGGCTGAAAAACTTCGCTCTGCTCAAGCGACACTGCTTGGCCAGGTCAAATTCAATATCATGCATTTTTTAATTAAAGGAAAAATGTCAGAATCGCACTTTTTGAAAGCGTCATCTATGGAAGTGGGAACATCACTAA